TTAAATAAAATATATCTTTAGGAAAATCATGCTACAAATCTATTGGCACATGTATCTTTGACTCATCCGCATGAATTTACATTAGTCATGCTACGTAATAAAAGAAAGCATGAAGAAATAGCTGCTTCAATTGGTTTATAAAAAAAGCGTCTTTATATCTTGTCGGTCTATAAGTCCAATAAGCGGTAGGAAGATTAATTATGCAACCAAAATTGCTTTAATTAACCTATCTAATTTTTAAGAATACCATTAGTAGGAATACCGAAATAATACCGGTATTTTATTACGGTTTTCAGTAATGTATCGGTTTCGGTACTATATCGGTTTCGGTGTACAATCTCTAGTATAATACCGGTATTGAAATCATACCGGTAATAAGTCCCTGGTACAGAGTGCGCAAAACAAACAAAGAAATATGATAATATAATAATATTATAATATAATAATCAATTAAAATAAACAAATTTGAAAAATATTTAATTAGAAAAAAATATACGTTTCAGTGACAATTGTCTAAACACACCTCGCATAGATACGGTTTCTCGCCTGTATGTATACGCCTGTGCTTCTTGAAGTGCTCGGGATAAACGAATGTAGCTGAACATACATCGCATTTGAACGGCCGTTCACCTGTATGTGCCGCTTTTATATGATAATCTAACAGTCTTCTTCTTTTGAAACCTTTTTCACATATTTCGCACTTATAACGTTTGTCGTTATAGTGAGTCGCTCGCTTGTGAGATTGTAAGTTCGATCTCTGACTGAAAACACAACACAATTTTAACTCTTTATTCCTATCAAGATCTATTGATAGAAACTATAAATGATTATATTGTTTCTGTAAACTATTAATTTCTACATAATACTTACCTAAATGTCGCTCCACATAATTCACATTGGTAAGGTTTCTCACCTGTATGAGTACGCTCATGATCACGTATTTCCGCTCTACGTGCGAATGCTTTACTGCACAGTTTGCATACATAAGGTTTATATCCACTATGTACTATGCTATGAACTTCCAAATTGTGAGATGAACCAAAGGCCTTACCTATAAAAAGATGCAAAATATTTAAAAATATACAAGCTAATTATAAAAAAAAATACAAAAAAAATATCACATTAATCACATAAAATGTAAATAAAATAACAAGATAAGAAATAAAATGTTGAAAAATTAAATATTTAAATAATTAATGATAAATTCATTATAATAATAAATTACGATGTATGTTTTGATCTATAAGATCTTCATCAAATAATGTATATGTTACAAAATCTTACCGCAATGAGTGCATACATATTCTTTTGCACCACTGTGTGTTCGTTCGTGTTGGATTAGATTCTGTTGGCTCAAAAACGTTTTGTTGCATTGACTGCACTCAAACGGACGTGGTCGTACTTCGTGTGTTTTTATGTGCGCGCGATAGGTATACTTCGATGCGAAGTCTTTCTTGCAGATGTGGCATATGTACGGGCGAGCGCCTGTATGCGTGTTCATGTGTTCGGTCAATAAATTTTTTGAACTGAAATAAAAAGTAAATTATCTCTTTCCAATGTTTAACATATCCTACGAATTTTACTTTCTTCCTATTGTGATACTATACTTGTATTTCTTTCCGCATGTTTCGCAGGTCCATGACTTAAGATGCGGATAATGTACCCTCTTATGAATCCGGAATAATCGTAAATTGGTAAATATTCTATTACATATTTCACATTGAAAGTCACCTTCTTCTTTCGACACATGATCGTCAAGATGCATGGAAAGCTCGGTTCTCTTTCTGAAATCTTGTCCGCACAAGTCACAAATATACAAACGTAGCTCGTGTGTGAGTTTCATGTGTGCTATAATAGCTTTATCATCTTCTGTTACTTTTTCTCCTTTCTCTAAACACAACAAGCAAGTAAATCCAAATTCTTCTTTGAGAATAAGCTGAAAACATTCGTATTTTTGTTCATATTTTTAAATTATAAATTTTACCGCTCTGTCGCAAAAAACAATAAATTTTATACATACATCTTGAATATTTGTATTAACTTCATTTTTCTTTTTCTCATCAGTACTATTTACGTTCTTGTTTTCAACAGCGTTATCAAAATCGTTCAGCTCCTCAACCACCACAACTTCAGATTCTGCAAGCGATTCTTCCACTTGTTCTTGTGCATCTATTTTTACATCCATTTCTATGTCCTCTTCCACATCTTTTTGCATATCCTCTTGCATGATCTCTTGCTCATCCTCTTGCATCATCTCTTGCACATCATCTTCTATATTTTCTTCTAGTAAAATTTCCTTCTCATTTTCCATATCCTAAGAACATTATTAAAAGTTACACATTGCAACGTATTGTGTGATATTATTGATTTCTTAATTGAATTTTTACAGCTTCTAATAAACTGTGTTGACTGTCTCCATTGTCTGCATAATCATGATCATTATATTCTTCTTCACTCTTCTTAATGTTAGACAACTGTTTTACTGTCTGAGTATAGCTTTGAGATAATTCCATTTTAATTTCTATTAATCTAGCTTCAAGTTCATCGACCTAAAATCATAAAACAATGTTAAACACCTGTTTGACAGAGAAGCAAAAAAAGACCATTTGTAATATTTATACTGTTTGATACATATATATAGATATAGATATTTTAATATATATATATATAATTAATTATTATTTAATATACATATATCTACCTCATTAAATAAATTGAAACAGTGTTTACAAATGACACGAGAATGTACAGAGTCTTCATTGATATCTACTTCTAAAACAGCTGCTATAACATCTGCAAGTGGTTTTTCAGATGTAGTAATAGTAGTGACATCATTGTCCTTAAAGATGCATATGCTATTTCGAGTTGATATTCCAACTTTGCTACAGCACACTAAACATTGTGTGCAATCTTTATCAGGATCAGCAGTCATCTATATCGATATAATTAAGAAATAATTAGTACTTAATTGTGATAAATATCAATGTCATATAACTTTTCTTATAAGTTTTATTTTGAAGAAACTCATTAGAAAAATATAAACCATCAAATAAAAAATATCTAATATATTAACTTCAGGTTTTATCCTTCTATCTAAATACTTTATGTCTTACAAAGAATATTGTAAGATAAGAATGATAACAATGTACACAACATATTTTATAAAACTTACACACCTTTAAATAATTTACAAATTTATATTGCTATACGTATATATCATTTATGTAACAAATATAAATCTCGGTCAAAACTGCATATTGTTATTTTACTTAAAACTGCAAAGTATAGGAATATTTTATTGTACATTGTTGATATTATGGTATGTGCTTTGATGTATTCGTCTTTTGCATTGTACTAACTCTAGCGTTAAAATTAATTTCCTCGTGTTTGCGTTCTACTTAACGCATAAATCTCAGAATTATAAACGGTCATATTTAGTGCCAGGCGTACGGCTAGGTGTGTGTGTGTGAGGGAGGGAGAGAGAGAGAGAAAGAGGAAGAGAGATGCAAATAAGGTACTTGTTGGCATGCTTGAAGAAAAAGTTTAATGTCGAATACGATATTCGCCATGTTTATATGTTCAAAGGCGGACTTCGACAAAATTTGGAACAGTTCAATGGAACAGACAACTGCGCTCCTTGAGCATAAATGTTATTTGAAGAGAAAAGATACAATATATTAACACTCAACCGTTCCAAACATTGCATAATTGCGCATGCTGTTTTCTCTTGCCCAGCATTAACGGACAGAGAAAGGCACGACATACGAAAAAGCAAGCGCGAGAATCGAATAATAATGACAATGTATGACAAAAAGTTGCCAGCACTGACTTGAAATTTTCGTTCTCTGGTGTGAGCGATTGGTAGCGAAAGAGAAGTAGCGAAGTAATGTTCCTGACGATTGCGGCCACGTTGTTCCAAAGACAAAACACCTTGTTCGCACGGGTGATATCTTCACGTGCTACGGATACTAAAAATGGCGATGCTCGAAGTTGCTTCGCTGTTGCATTTGGACACCGTGCTCCGCTTTCCTTCTAACAGCTGCCGATGCAAGAAAGAACATGGAATATTGTGTTGCATTGAAGGTGACCGCGCGCCCCCTATCGGAAACGTGTTTTCGATAGAAACATCGTCGGTTTTCAATTCCAAGTTGGGACAAATCATATCTTGAACATACTGTAAATACATTAATAGACAATTTATTTTGTTTTTTTTTTTAGAATAAAAATGAATCAAGAGACATGGTAAGGCCTGGTTTATGCGAGCAATAACTGTTAACTTATGCCGGAACCGGTAAAGTTTAACTATATGATTTTAATACTTCTGTTTATACGAAATTGCCGAATGCGTATAAACAGAAGTATTGGAATCCTATAGTTAAACTCTACCGGTTCCGGCATAAGTTAACAGTTATTGCCCGCATAAACCAGGCCTAAGTCTTGACGCCAAGTACACAGCCAGAGTTGGACATGTATTATATGTGAGGTATTTTACATTGTACACACGGCGTCAAAAATTCGCGGAGTCGGCGCGGGGATCGGAGGGCAAGCGGGGGGTTGCTCGTAGCGCCAACGGGCGCCGTACGAACTAAGTAGTAGTCCACAACTACGTCGTGTCGATAATGTAACTATTCTTCTTTATTATTTTCTTCTCAAAACGTAAAACTATTGGCCATTTGCTAAATACTTAACGTTGACAAGTAACATGTATATAAATATACCCAGCAAACAATTTCTGACTGCGCAGACCTTGGCAACAGAAACTGTGTGCAGAAACGCTACAGTACGGAAACATGCTTTGGTGCTGCCAAAACTGTTAGCACAAAGAGACAAAAAACGCAACAACTCTGTTGGCACATACATGAGACTATTGCGGCCAAAATGATTTCATATATGTTAGTGAAATTGATAACAAATAGATGGTCGATAGCAAGCAGATCTGCTTTAGCAATACTGTGACCAAACAGTCCGCAAAACCGTATGAGCATCTGTTTATGACAAAACGTTGACCGCAGTTGGGTCGATCTGTTGAACGCATTGACGACAGATTGCCACCAAACGCCAAGCAGATCTGTTCGTGCATATGTGCGGACTGTTTGCACGCAAGACTACTAAACTGTCTGTTTGACATCTAGACAACAAAATGGCGATTATCTGCGATCA